AACGTAAATCAATGGTACTGTAAATCTTTCCTTTAGCAACCTCGTTAATTATATTGTTTATGCGAGGCAAGGGATACGCGTCAAGAGCAGTGTATCTATTTATTGTTTGTGAATGGTCAATAACAAGACGTTTTTTATGTCTTTGGTCTTTTGTGGCCAATACTTGAGCGCGCCACGGCGACTCTGACCGTTTTATGATGCCCTCCCGCAACAAACGAGCAATCTATCTTTGATGAACTTCAGATCATCGGAACTGTAGTTTCGGGACCTGACAGCAATTGGCTTACAGTTATCGTCAACAAATCGAAAAATACGTAAAGGTTCACTTACTTTTGCGCTAGCCAAATTGCAGACCTCTTTACCAACGTACAAGGAGTCTAGGTCTCCGTTTAATTCGAAGACAACCTTTCGATGTTTGCTTAAAAAATCTTGGCCCAGTATGATGTCCGTACAAAGATTTTCCACAACACCAAACTTCATTGCATCATAAACTCTCGTTCCAATCTTTAGCGGTGCGTCCACAAACCCAATGGTTTGTGCAACTGATTCGTTCGAAGCAAGTGCAATTACAGTTTTTGGACCGTAGAGGGTGAGGCCAAGACTTCTTGCCACGGATGCCTTTATGTAACTCTGTGAAGCACCGGAGTCTAGCAGAGCCATCAGAGAGTTTTCCGCAATTTTAGCAGTAATCGTCGATCGTGACAACGAAGTATGAATACCAGCTATAATTGAAGTCAGGTGCAAATCGTTTACGGTAGCAACCGATTTCTTCGCTTTACGACAAACTGTTGCAAAATGTCCTCGAAGACCACAATTAAAACACTCTGCGTTTCTAGCAGGGCACTTCAGTCGATTTAAAGCATGAATTCGTCCGCAAAAATAACACCTTCTACGGTTTACTTTTGTTCCGTTAGTACTTCTTGCAGCAGCTACGTGTTGGTCACTATTAGAGCCAAACTCAGAAAATTGGTCTTCTTTGTTTACCGAAAATTTATCATCCATTGAAGTAACGGCTGCTTGATGAGGCAATGATTGCTGGTACGAATGCGAAAATTTCTCGGCTCGTTCCAAAGAATCAGCAATTTGAATGGCTTTTTCCAGTGATAATTCGTCATATTCTAGCAATCTTTGTCGAATATTAGCGGAACATAGCCCTGTTATAAGCGCATCTCTTAGCGCCTCCTCTCTGTGTTGCTCGGCGCTGACTGCTTTGAAATTACAATCTTTCGCAAGCGACCTGAGCGCCTGGGAAAATTCGGAGATAGTTTCACTGCTCAACTGAATCCGTGTGGCCAGCGTGTGCCTTGCATATATGATATTCTTCTTTCTTTGATAATGTTTGCGCAAAATCGCCATAGCTTCATCATACACATCCACATCTTCCACAAAGGAAAACACGTCAGGTGATAAATATCCACCCTTGATAGCACATTTGTTGATTTGCCTTGAAACACCTTCCGTGGATCTGTTGGATTCCACAGCTGTTAAGTAATTTGTAAGCATTCTGTCCCAATGGGAAAATACTTTTAGAGCTCCAACTTCATTCGGCAAGACATCAAGCACTGGCACCCGAATAAGTTTTTCGTCGGAAGTTGCCATTGCTTTCGGAAAACCAGTTAATCGTTTCAAGTTTAAGTTTTGAGCTAATAAAATTGAGGCGAATCTAATACAGAAAGAAACAAACTTGTATACTAGGCTTTTATTAGCTCAAACGTCGACTAAGAGTCTTAAAGCAGCACAAACCAAAGAATGACTTTCAAAATCAAAACACCATGCTACTAAAGGACGAACTGTATACGTCAGCAGGGTCAAATGTCGTGGCTGTTTTAGGGGTTGCTAGATTTCAATACATAAATCACCACAAACGTTATGATTCAAGTGGGTCAGACGACAAAGACAGAAAGAAACTTTTACCCGACCGCCTGTGTGAAACTCTTCCGAGGACCGAAAAAGTAGCTCATAAAGCGTGCGATTTGAACAGGGATCATTTCGTCAGCCTGACGTAAGTATTTTGTTCGTGAACATCGGAACATTTCATACAGTATTTCGGTAAACCATACTTCGGCAAATTCGCATAAGAATTATTCTGGGCATGTGCCACGAGCACGTCGGTATTTAGTTTTTTCTTGTCTGAAACAGTGCCAACAGTTTGAAAAAATTGTTATTATGCGGTCATCTGTGACACACGCAAAATATATATAAACAAATAAGTGAATTCGCAACTCAAATTTTGTGGATAGTGGCATCCAGAGTCCGCTCCTCAACTTGTCGATATTCTTTTTAATACTTAGGAAATAAAGCAAACGAAAACAACGGCATTCTTATTAAAGCTGTAGAAAAATCTGTTCAAGATCTTTACAGCTTGGACATTGGGTATATCTTATTGTCTTTTAAAAACTATCTAAACTTTTCTTGTCACATTGGCTATGCCAATTCAAAAACCAAGATCAGAGGTTTTGGAAGCATTTTCACAGAGAGCGACTGATATTGGTTTAAAAATAAGAAGTTAAAATAGTGTTGATGAAATGCTTTGAATGTCTATTGAATTGTAAATTATCAGCATAATCAGCATCATTAATGTACCCACGAGGAAAATAGGTTACTTGCGCACATGCAAGCGTGCATTTATATATACTCACGAAGTCGGTTTTTACTCCTCGCACTTGAAGATGCATAAACATAAGTGCTCAAAATAGGAATTATAACAACTCAAAGGGTGCACTAACAGATATTTTCCTTTCAACAATCTAGTCTAGTGTATGCTACTTAGTTACTAGACGGTACCATTAAAAGAAAATGTGACATGCAATAAACAAATTTTCGTTTTTGTTTCGTTAATTGCTAGTTTTGTTGTCATAATGCGATATTTTCTGAAAATAAATAAATAGATAATTTTACCCATGTGCCAAAATAGATCGGAGTAAATGCTGTTATCCATAAGATTGTAGATGCAAGCATGAATTCACAAAACGTCGTGACGATGATCACAATTTGAAAAGCACGACTGTTTGTCGGTCTGAACATCGCTGGGAAATCACGACGAATGATAAAACACTGTAACAAAATATAGTCTTGTCTGTAAACTGCGGGACATTGATAACAAGGCGTGGACCAGAAACGGCCGCAATAATTGTCAAGCTAGTCGGTCCAGGCAAAAAATCATACTCATAGTTGAACAAATGTAGATGGTAAAGAAAAGAGTTAATCAATATCAAATATTTGCTTCGACTCTTAATTATTGCTCAAATATGGTTAAATACACAAGGGGATGTGTACAGCATATATAATTTGGTTCCCACAATTGAAAAACTGGATTGATTCGTTGCATGTTTATCAAATGTATTATTATGGTATTATGGTAGAATTGTATGCCTAATTTTATGAACCTTACGATTGTGCTATTCTATTTGATAAAATAATTTAAACCAAGTGCTTGAAAACGTCCCTACTCACCTCTGCCCTTCAGAAAACCCTGCTAAGCTAAATGTTGAAAGAGAAAAACAATTAAAATAGGTTCTAAATCTTAGTGTTTGCCATCATGTACCTTACGCGGGCTAATTGGCGCATAGGATATTTATTCGACGTTTTGCAATGCTATGTATAAACTATGATGTCTGGAACTCTGGAATGTTTATTATGGCATTGATAGGAAGAAAAGTCAATTTCCTACGCAGCAATATAAGAAATATCTTTATATGACGTTTGGAAGTGATAAAATATCGCTTGAATTTCAAGCCTGTACTACCCGCTTTGATAGAAAAACGTCGCACAACCAGAATAGCATTTAATCAATCTCAGCGTTGCGCGCTAATTAATAATCCAAGCAAGCCCGATAGATTCTTATTTTCATATGCTACCCTACATAGAAGAATGAGCCTTTTACAACATCAGGAAGGTATGAAATAAACGAGTCGTTCGATCGCAGCTGCCATTATAGGAAAAAGTGAGTTTACATAACCGTGACATCGCTCAAATTCATAATGTTTCACGATTATATTTCCTTTTATGATTCATATTAAATGTTTTATTATGACTCATAAAAACTTTCAAGACTTTTCAATAGGAAAAATATTTATTGCGCGCGATTCACTCGCCCAACAGCTGACAGAATGAGGGAGGTAAATTTTGATTGTGTGCTATAAGGCAGCTCATTATACATCTTAAGTAATGAACGTTTCTGAAAATTTCAACATCAACAACTTGAAAATTTATTCTACATGGAAAGAGAGCTAGAAGTTGTAATTGGGCGTAAAGTTTGGCCGTAAAGATCGTTTATTTATAAGTGTTATAAGACGAACGAAATTTACTCCTAAAATATTGTTGATGAATTTAAACAGTATGGAGTGTTATTAAAAAACGCTTCATAACAAACAAGTAACAGCTATTAAAGAATTCAAATCTCTTCGTATTTCCAATTGCTTCGCTTTATTGTATTGATTGCACGACTCCTTGGTAATCCAAGCATATACATATATAATATATGTTGGTGTATGGATATCGTTCGATGTTTGACCAGATAATTTGATATTGCATAAAGCTAATTCCAAATTTTTGCGTCATCATTGATGAGAACAAAAATTGGAATTTGAAACATTAATATTTACAAAGAGTTCTCTATTACGCAAATTTAAAATCAGATGAAAATCACTTTTCAATGGCCGTTATTGAAGAACATTTTAAAGCGAAGTTGAGGGGTAAAACTTGTTTGACATATATGGTGTTCTTCACCCATATTTGTAGACGAATGGCGGGGAGGGAAATTAGGATTAGGATTTACAAAGCCTATAAGACGGCTCAACCATATGGCGAACCACGGCCTCTCGTCCGGTTATCATTTCAAGTCGGGTATGGGATTAGTTAGGTATTTGTTTTCGGAGGCATGGATTCGAACATGCGAACCCACGCAGAGTAATCAGAGATGCGGTGGCAGCGTATTCTAATCGCAAATGCGAATGAATACCTCTTGGCTCGAAATAGTAATTTTAATAATAATTTTGCAGATCAAACGATTTGAACTGATCGACAAGCCATGGAGTCCGAAGAGTTTCATAAATTTGCTCAAGTTGCTTCAACTACAGAAGCAGATGTAGTGTCGTTTGAAGACTGTAATCTGACAAGTGAAAAACTGAATGCATTTGCACAAGGAGCCACTGATTTCGGCTTGAAAGTGAGAAGTTAGAATATTTTTGATAAATACTTAATACTTATTCAATGTTCAAAATGAATCTTACTAAAGTGTATTTTATTTACTCGCGCGCAATATTAAAAGAGTATTTATTATAGTATAAAATGCAAGGTAGAAAAAAAAAACTGTGGAAAACGATAATGCGTTTTTGTATTTAGAAATATATGTGTGATTAAATTACAATTATGTTGAAAACGTATTTTAAAATATTATACGGTAAAAAGTGCGGTCTTTACTTTATTTGAAATTCTATCAGTTAAAAACTGCGTTATTTAATGTGACAAAGCATTCTAAAGTAACCACCTGATCAGCATGTAAGTCATCGCCAATACTATTGCCTAATAATCACGAATATCTTTAGTAAGAAATAAATTTGCGTTCGGGTACAATATTGCCTTTTGGAGTTTATCGAAGATCAGTTTATTTACTTGTAAATATTTTCATATTATTGAAATGTTGAAATTATTTCAAAATAACAATGATGCGTATAATGTAGCAGGGTAAGATTTATCTCGAAATTTGTCACTTGAAAATAGTGAAAAGTAGACGGGGGCACACATAATTCATTGCTCAAATTTTTGCCAAAATGAGGCACTTCAGCTACCATGATTGCCCATGAGCATAGAAATACTTTGAAACAACTTTTGCAGGGACAACATTTATGAACAAACTTTCAATCGGATTAAGTGTCGTCATGTTAATAAAAACTAAAGAGCCCTAGAAATATGTGGATCAAGATTGCGCACAACCTGAATGTGTACCAGGTTAGGGTGCGCATACTTCGAAAACGGCAAAACTAGTACAAGTTCAAGATTTCGATATTGTCAAATGAAACTCTCTAATAAAAACAAGTTGTCAAACTACAAACCAAATATCAGCAATATATTTTTTCGTGATTTTCTCGGAAGTGGCTCGAACGATCCAAGAAAATCACGTGCAGCAATCAAGCGTGTAATTAGGCCCATGTTAATTATAAAATATGTACTAGAGATTCCAAATAAAATTTATACACACAATGGAAGAAAAGGAAAAAAATGAAAATCAAGAATAAACCAGTATCGGAAAGGAGAGTGAAGTCAAATTAAACGACTGTCAGGGAATCCAAACCCGGACCTCCTGATACAACTTTGCAGAAAAACTAACAAAATGTGATTTTTATAATATTCTCACTTGTAACATCACTCATTTTAGTACTCATTGTGTTTTTATACAATGTATTTATGCAATTTTGAATCCCAACAAAACTCTTCACAAGATTAGTAGTTACTATAGATTGGAAGGACATGTTTTTACTTCGGTTGGATATTGGCTGCATTCTCAGTATAGTACACCCTGGGTCAGGTGGGGAGAGTGGATGGCATTCAGATCCGAGACTTTTGCCTGGTTTAATTGAATGCGAAGATGAATGTTAATAATGAAAAAAAGTGTGAAGGATTAATTGTTTACTCAAAATAGTATATTTATTACTCATTTTGCAGATCACACTTGCCTCGATTCCTTGATTTATGTAAGCTCGAACGTTCATGTGGACTTGTAAATATTCGTTACAAATTTTGTTAGCATAGGCCTTTGAGATATGGTTATTCCTAAAAAGCCTCGTGTAACCAAACAAATGAAGTCCACGGTATTGTGAGAAAATGGCAGGTAATAGCATCGATCTCAGAATTTTATATCACAGAAATTTTAACGCTAGTATGAGCCATTCAATACTATTATATATTAACTGCGCAATGATAGGCCCAACATTTCATTGTATTTACATTCACAAAAATTGGACTCGTTGCATTTTGAGATTCGTTGGGCAGTAGTGATTTGAGATTTGCGTTCAAAGACAACGGTAGTGAGGTAACAAAATAGAAATATTTCAGCTTTCAAGAACAATAATTTTGGGAGTTGATTTAAATACCAGTTTCGTGTAAAGTACAAGGCCTTTCATAACAACAATGACGAGTCTAATTGGAGCGGTTGTGATTTTGATAAAAATTTGTCGTGTGACAATATAAACCGAGTTGCAAGAAATTATTGTCGCACTGACAACATAATGTTTGATTCAAATGTTACATTTTAAAGTTGCGACTACCTTAGTAGTTGTGTTAACGTAGATGGTGATAAAATTAATTCCATCCTAGTTATCCACGATATCAATACTATTGCATTATTCGGGTATTATAGCCAACATAGATGAAACAACAAAGCTTGGCGTGTTGGCTCAGTTTCTAATCACGCTGAAAACCATAGTTTAATTTGTTGGTGCGGTTTTGTTTTAAATACGCATTATCATTCCCTGTGTAAGGTATATACTATATTCGAAGCCCTGAAAACATAAAAGGTCATCGTAACATTGAGGTTAATAGATTGATAAATATTTTACAGATCAATCGTTTAATCCTAATGGACAAGACCATGGAGTCCGAAGCATTCCACGAATTCGCTCAAGTTGCCTCAACCACAGAAGCATCGACCATGGTGATTAACAATTCTAGCTTGTCCAATGACAAACTGAATTCATTTGAGGAGGGAGCCACTGAATTTCGAGTAAAAGTAAGAAGCTGAATTATTGTTGTCGCAATTCTTATGATGTGCATGTATATTTGAAAATTGAGCATTCAGAGTGTGTTTGAAAGCACACACTTTGCAGAAATATTTACCTAGATAAAGAGCCGATGAATTAGATATTTTTTCATAGGTAAAGTTATGTGTAGTTAAATTTTACTGAATATGCGCAAAAGTATGCGGAAATTGAAAAAAAAAGGAATATCCCATGGCTTAGGACAAAATACTATGTGAAAGTACTGCCAATAGTATGAAAATCATGATCTTGACGTTTTATAGATTTTTCAATTTGATATCTTTTCACTAAAAATAATGAGTTTAATATTAATTTTGCAGACCAATAAATTTGTCCTGCAGTATTTATTATAAATTTGTCACGTTACATATGAAATCGAGTTGCTAGCTAATATTGTAGCGCTTACAACATAATGTTTGATTCATATGTCACATTTTGAGGTAGCGACTACTTTAGTAATTAAGATAACGTAGACGGTGATGAATTTATTCAACCATAGTTATAAACGAAATCAAAAATAGGACATTATTTGGATATTGAATCAAACTTAGCCAACATAAAAGAAATGAAGATTAGTGCGTTGGCTCGGTTTTCTAATCACGCTGAAAAACATAGTTTAGTGTGTTGGGGCGGAGTTAATTGTCGCACTGACAACGTAATGTAAAAATGTTACATTTTCGAGTAGCGAATACACTAGTAGTTATGGTAACGTAGACGGTGATATATTTATTCAATCCTAGTATCCACGATAATCAAAATTAGGACATTATTTGGATATTGAATAACTGATTTAGCCAACATAAATTAAGAAATAAAGCTACCATGAGCAAAGACATATTTATAAAAAAAAATCGACAACATTTCACGACCGATTTTTAATACTCTATATATATATGAGTTGTGCCGTCATATTAATAAAAATAGTGCAGGTTTAACTACTTGTGGCTCCCGTAGTAATTAAAATGATGTCCAACTAATGCACGCTATATGCCAAACATCTGCAGTTCAGTAATTTATAAGTTTCTAAAATTTTGTTAGAAACAACTAAGTATTTAGACTAAATACTAAAAATTTCTCAAAAATTGGTATATTTCCAACGCATCAGACAATTAGATTTTCGTATTCTTATCAATGTATGGGTCGAGATAACTTCGAGCTTAAGTCGGCTTCTGCGAATTTCATATCATGAGTCTAATAAGCCAATCAAATGGATGCAACATCACTATTAGTTTAAAAAATTAGAATAAATGGTGGACCCATTCTGTTTATAAATCCATATTGTTGACAAATCCAAATAGTATTGGATGTTATTGCAAAATGCTCCATAACAGACAGACCTTAGATTTCAGCACATTACAACCCCTTAGTATTTCCGATTAAATAAAAATAAGCTAATATAAAACCGTAAATTACTACTTGGCTGGTATTTAAAACAATATTCTTATTAAATTAAAGCTGGAATTTTTTTCCATCTTGATATTTCAGAATTTGTTTCTTGTATGTTTGATAAAAGTATTTCTATGTCATCGTTGAGGTCGTATGCTACAATTTTTTTTCTCTCTAAACTTTACGTTTGACCTATTTCAATCAATAATAATCAAAACAATTGTTCTATCGCTAGAAAACATTTCAATTGAATCAATTGAATCAATGGGAAGCAAAACAATATTCCCAACTTCATAGCAGTAGTTCCTACCATTTTTTTAAATTCCTTCTTTTGTCCATTTTGTAATTTTTCATTTTTCCATCACTTGGCAAAAAAACTATCTATTCGATCTTCAGAATCATGCAAATGTTACACTCCGAATTGATTTCAAAGGCGTTAATATTTTCATGTAGCAATCCTCCTGATTCACGGTGACCGTTGTCGTGACAGAGTGGTTGATGGTTCTTAACTCGGTGTTATGCGCTATCAAACTCCTGTTTTTGCACAATTTGAGTAGTGTAATATGTGTTCATGAATAAGTATTATAGCAATAATGAAAACATAAATGATTATTGGTAAAACTACAGCGAATGTAAAGTAGAATTCCTCCCCATAAACGGAAAACTTCGGTCCTAGAATGGAATTCTTCTACAGTTTTTTCAAAGTCCATAAACCTTTAGATGGGAAGAAATAACACTTTTGCTTCACACAAAGCTCAGCACAAGCAGCCACTACTATGTTTATAAAACCAACTATAGATCAAAAAGACCTGAATTTTTACGATCGACTTTGTTATTCCAATATATTACACTCAGGTATAGTTAAGAAAATAAGATTTGGAAATTTTCGTTGTCTGCGATTCAATTAATTGCAAAGCTGGATGTTGTGAATAAAAAAAAGTGAGTGAATATTTCTTTAATCAAAATAGTAATTTTAATAATAATTTTGCAGATTAATCACTTTGTCCTATTAGACAAGACCATGGAGTCCGAAGCATTTCATAAATTTGCTCAAGTTGCCTCAACTACAGGAGCAGATGTAGTGGAATTTAATAACTGTGATTTGACAAGTGAAAAACTGAATGAATTTGCACAAGGTGCCACTGATTCCGGCTTGAAAGTAAGAAGTTAGAACATTTTTGATAAATACTTAATACTTATTCAATGTTCAAAATGAATCTTACTAAAGTGTATTTTATTTACTCGCTCGCATTATTAGAAGAGTATTTAATACATTTAAAATGCAAGGTAAAACAAAAGACTGTGGAAAACGATAATGCGTTTTTTGTATTTAGAAGTATTTGTGTGATTAAATTATAATTATTAAAATTCTATCAGTTAAAAACTGCGTTATTTAATGTGACAAAGCATTCTCAATTAACCACCTGATCAGCATGTAAGTCATCGCTAATGCTATTGCCTAATAATCACGAATATCTTTAGTAAGAAATAAATTTGCGTTCGGGTAGAATATTGCCATTTGGAGTTTATCAAAGATCAGTTTATTCACTTGTAAATATTTTCATAATAATAATAAGTTGAAATTTTTTAAAAATAACATTGATGCGTATAATGTAGCAGGCTAAGGTTTATCTAGAAATTTGTCACATGGAAATAGTGAAAAGTAGACAAGATAGCATTAATGTTTTATTCGTTACCTCTCGCGGCTAGAAATGGTTGTTATGTCGTCAGTTATATTGTAACATGACGTTTTATTACATCTTTGGTTTTTTTGAACTCACGATCCAATATATTTGGTTTATTAGCCTACGTGACGTACTCGTATTTTCCACAATTTGAGAACTTGTTTATGACGCCACAATACATTTAACATGATTTCTAAAATCATATCCTGACGTAATAATAAACTCAATTGAGCTCTGTTGATCAATATGTGCATTGATCAATGGGGGCATCGAAATAGCCTATGTCCTCTTGCTGTCCAAATTCGACCTTAAAGTGGACCGATGGTGGATTCACCTTTGAGCAAAATAAACACGTGTTTTGAGCACCAAGAGAAAGAGCACCACAGTTTTTTTCATCGTTTCCATTTCAATTCTCAAAAGTTCCTCAGTCTTTAATATTATGATTCAAATTGGTCAGACGATACAGACAAAGGCGAAACCATGACCCGAAACCCCCCGTATTGAATTTTTTCCAAGAACCGAAAAAGTAGCTCATAGGGCGTGCGATTTGCTAATGGATAATTGGTTGAAATCGCCGATTTTTTTTCGTTAGCGTGACGTAAGTATTTATTTCGTAAACTTCGGTATTATGTCGGTAAACTATATTTCGGCAAATTAGTCGATTTTAACAAATTATCCCGGCATGTGCCACGGCGACGTCGGTAATTAGTTTTTTTCTTTTTCGAAGCAGTGCCACAAGCGTAAAACAAATTGTTATTATGCGGTGACACACGCAAAATATATATATAAACAAATAAGTGAATCCGCAACTCAAATTTTGTGAAGTGAACGTCAGCCGCTTGTCAACTGATTGAATATTCGTTTTAATACTAAGAAAATAAAGCAAACGAAAACAACGGCATTCTTATTAAAGCTGTAGAAAAATCTTTTCAAGATCTTTACAGCTTGGACATTGGGTATATCTAATTGTCTTTTTAAACTATCTAAATTTACCTTTTTACATTGGCTATGCCAGCTCAAACATCAAGAACAGAGATTTTGAAAGCATTTTCATAGAGAGCGACTGATTGGTTTAAAAGTAGGAAGTTAAAATATTGTTGATGATATGCTTTGATTGTCTACTTCATTGTAAAGTACCACATTGAGCGGCATCCCTTGAGTCCTCCGATAATCTGAGCAACTAATGAAAATTAGAATATTGTTGACGAAATGCTTTGAATGTCTATTTAATTGTAAATTATCAGCATGACCAGCATCATTAACATTTGCATGTACACACGAGTAAAATAGGTTACATGCGTACATGCAAGCGTGCATAATCACGAAGTCGGTTTTTACTCCTCGCACTTGAAGATGCATAAACAGAAGGAGTCAAAATAGGTAGTATAACAACTCAAAGGGTGCACTATTAGGTATTTTCCTTTCAACAATCTAGTCTAGTGTATGCTACTTAGTTAATAGACGGTACCATTAAAAAAAATGTGACATGCAATGAATTTTCGTTATTTTCGGAAAATAAATGAATAATTTACTCAAGTGCCAAAATAGATCGGAGTAAATGCTGTTAGCCATGACGATGAATCACAGTTTGAAAGCACGATTGTTTGTCGGTCTGAACATTGCTGGGAAATCACGACGAATGACAAAACACTCATACTGTAACAAAATATAGTCTTGTCGGTAAACTGCGGGACCTTGATATCAAGGCGTGAACCAGAAACGGCCGCACCAATTGTCAAGCTAATCGGTCCAGGCGAAAAATCATACTCATAGTTGAACAAATGTAGATGGTAAAGAAAAGAGTTAATCAATATCAAATATTTGCTTCGACTCTTAATTATTGCTCAAATATGGTTAAATACACAAGGGGATGTGTACATCATATATAATTTGATTCCCACAATTGGAAAACTGGATTCATTCGTTGCATGTTTATCAAATGTGTCATTATAGTATTATGGTAAAATTGTATGCCTAATTTCATGAACCTTACGATTGTTCTATTCTATTTGATAAAATAGTTTAAACCAAGTGCTTGAAAACATCCCTACTCACCTCTGCCCTTTAAAACCATGCTAAGCTAAATGTTAAAAGAGAAAAACAATTAAAATGGGTTCTAAATTTTAGTGTGTGCCATTATGTATAATGATTTAATTTTCGTGCTTGAATAATGAATAATTCAATTCAAAAATTTGTATCTCATATAACGAATGCTAGGAGTCGTAAGCAGTACAAAATCTGTAAAAATAAATACAAATGATAATTAGCAACGCGGGCCAATTAGCGCATAATAAAATTTGCGCGACGTTTTGCAATGCTATGTATAAACTATGAGGTCTGGAACTCTGGAATATTTATTATGGCATTGCTTGGAAGAAAGGGTAATTTCCTACGCAGCAATATAAGAAATATCTTTATATGACGTTTGGAAGTGATAAAATATTGCTTGAATTTCAAGCCTGTACTACCCGCTTCAATAGAAAAAGTCGCACAACTAGAATATAATAGCGTTGCGCGCTGATTAATATTCCAAGCAAGTCTTATAAATTCTTATTCTGAAGTTCATTTCCTATGCTACCCTACATAAAAGAATAAGCTTTTTACAACTTCAGGAAGGTATGAAATGAACGAGTCGTTCGATCGCAGCTGCCATTACAGAAAAAAGTGAGTTTACATAACCGTGACATCGCTCAAAATCTCAATGTTTCACAATTATATTCCCTTTTATGATCCATATTAAATGTTTTATCAAGACTCATAAAAGCTTTCAAGACTTCAATAAGAAAAATATTTATTGCGCGCGATTCACTCGCCCAACAGCTGACAGAATGAGGGAGGTAATTTTTTTTTTGGTATTTCAAACATTTGGTATCTCAAAAAAAAATTATTTATAATATATATTTATTGATATATTGGGTAAATCTTGGAATCGTATGGCATGAATAAGAATGGGCATACAAAGTTGGGCCGGATTGCTCGTCTAGAGCAGGATCTGATTCTGAAATTCTATCGTAAAAAGTACGGAATTTTTTATTTTATTTTTTTAATGTAAACTTAACCACATGGGATTAAACATATACTTCCGATCTTGATAAAAGAAGACGAATGAGGAGAGATCCAAATTTTGATTGTGTGCTATAAGGCAGCTCATTATACATCTTAAGGAATGAACGTTTCTGAAAATTTCAACATCAACAACTTGAAAATTTATTCTACGTGGAAAGAGAGCTAGAAATTGTAATTGGGCGTAAAGTTTGGCCGTAAAGATCGTTTATTTATGAGTGTTATAAGACGAACGAAATTTACTGCTAAAATATTGTTGATGAATTTAAACAGTATGGAGTGTTATTACAAAACGCTTCATAACAAACAAATAACAGCTTTTAAAGAATTCAAATCTCTTCGTATTTCCAATTGCTTCGCTTTGTTGTATTGATTGCATGACTCCTTGGTAATCCAAGCATATACATATATAATATATGTTGATGTATGGATATCGTTCGATGTTTGATCAGATAATTTGATATTGCATAAAGCTAATTCCAAATTTTGGCGTCATTATTGATGAGAACAAAAATTTGAATTTGAAACATTAATATTTACAAAGAGTTCTCTATTACGCAAATTTGAAATCTGATGAAAATCACCTTTCAATGACCGTTATTGAAGAACATTTTAAAGCGAAGTTCAGGGGTAAAACTTGTTTGACATATATGGTGTTCTTCACCCATATTTGGAGACGAATGGCGGGGAGGGAAATTAGGATTAGAATTTACAAAGCCTATAAGACGGCTCAACCATATGGCGAACCACGGCCTCTCGTCCGGTTATCATTTCAAGTCGGGTATGGGATTAGTCAGGTATTTGTTTTCGGAGGCATGGATTCGAACATGCGAACCCACGCAGAGTAATCAGAGATGCGGTGGCAGCGTGTTCCAATCGCAAATGCGAATGAATACATCTTGGCTCGAAATAGTAATTTTAATAATAATTTTGCGGATCAATCGATTTGAACTGATCGACAAGACCATGGAGTCCGAAGAGTTTCATAAATTTGCTCAAGTTGCTTCAACTACAGAAGCAGATGTAGTGTCGTTTGAAGACTGTAATCTGACAAGTGAAAAACTGAATGCATTTGCACAAGGAGCCACTGATTTCGGCTTGAAAGTGAGAAGTTAGAATATTTTTGATAAATACTTAATACTTATTCAATGTTCAAAATGAATCTTACTAAAGTGTAATTTATCTACTCGCGCGTAATATTAAAAGAGTATTTATTATAGTATAAAATGCAAGGTAGAGAAAAAAAGACTGTGGAAAACGATAATGCGTTTTTGTATTTAGAAATATTTGTGTGATTAAATTACAATTATGTTGAAAACGTATTTTAAAATATTATACGGTAAAAAGTGCGGTCTTTACTTTATTTGAAATTCTATCAGTTAAAAACTGCGTTATTTAATGTGACAAAGCATTCTAAAGTAATCACCTGATCAGCATGTAAGTCATCACCAATGCTATTGCCTAATAATCACGAATGTCTTTATTAAGAACTAAATTTTGCGTTCGGGTACAATATTGCCTTTTGGAGTTTATCGAAGATCAGTTTATTCACTTGTAAATATTTTCATATTATTGAAATGTTGAAATTATTTCAAAATAACAATGATGCGTATAATGTAGCAGGTTAAGGTTTATCTAGAAATTTGTCACATGAAAATAGTGAAAAGTAGACAGGGGCACACATAATTCATTGCTCAATTTTTTGCCAAAATGAGGCACTTCAGCTACCATGATTGCCCATGAGCATAGAAATACTTTGAAAAAACTTTTGCAGGGACAACATTCATGAACAAACTTTCAATCGGATTAAGTGTCGTCATGTTAATAAAAACTAAAGAGCCCTAGAAATATGTGGATCAAGATTGCGCACAACCTGAATGTGTACCAGGTTAGGGTGCGCATACTTCGAAAACGGCAAAACTAGTACAGGTTCAAGATTTCGATATTGTCAAACGAAACTCTCTAATAAAAACAAGTTGTCAAACTACAAGCCAAATATCAGCAATTTATTTTTTCGTGATTTTCTCGGAAGTGGCTCGAACGATCCAAGAAAATCACGTGCAGCAATCAAGTGTGTAATTAGGCCCATGTTAATTATAAACATGTACTAAAGATCCCAAACAAAATTAATAAACACACTATAAGAAAAGAAAGAAGAGGCAAAAAAAGAATAAACCAGTATCGGAAAGGAGAGTGAAGTTAAATTAAACGACTCTCAGAGAATCCAAACCCGGACATCCTGATACAACTTTGCAAAAAACTAACAAATTGTGATTTTTATAATATTCTCACTTGTAACATTATTCATTTTAGTACTTATTGTGTTTTTATACAATGTATTTACGCGATTTTGAATCTCAACAAAACTCTTCACAAGTTTAGTAGATACTATGGATGGGAAGGACCTGTTTTCACTTTGGTTGGATATTGGCTACATGCTCAGTATAGTACACCCTGGGTTAGGTGGGGAGAGTGGATGGCATTCAGATCCGAGACTTTTGCCTGGTTTAATTGAATGCGAAGATGAATGTTAATAATGAAAAAAAGTGAAGGAATAATTGTTTACTCGAAATAGTATGTTTATTACTCATTTTGCAGATCAAACTTGCCTCGATTCCTTGATTTATGTAAGCTCGAACGTTCATGTGGACTTCGGTTACAAATTTTGTTAGCATAGGCCTTTGAGATATGATTATTCCTAAAAAGCCTCGTGTAACCAAACAAATGAAGTCCACGGTATTATGAGAAAATGGCAGGTAATATCATCGATCTCATAATTTTATATCACAGAAATTGTAATCCTAGTATGAGCCACTCAATACTATTATATATTAACTGCGCAATGATAGGCCCAACATTTCATTGTATTTACATTCACAAAAATTGGACTTGTTGCATTTTGAGATTCGTTGGGCAGTAGTAATTTGAGATTTGCGTTCAAAGACAACGGTAGTGAGGTAACAAAATAGAAATATTCCAGCTTTCAAGAACAATAATTTTGGAAGTTGATTTAAATACCAGTTTTGTATAAAGTACAAGGACTTTCATAACCACAATGACGAGTCTAATCGGAGCGGTTGTGATTTTAATAGGAATTTGTCGTGTGACAATATAAACCGAGTTGCAAGAAATTATTGTCGCACTGACAACATCATGTTTGATTCAAATGTTACATTTTAAAGTTGCGACTACCTTAGTAGTTGTGTTAACGTAGATGGTGATAAAATTAATTCCATCGTAGTTATCCACGATATCAATATTATTGCATTATTCGGGTATTATAGCCAACATAGATTAAACAACAAAGCTTGGCGTGTTGGCTCAGTTTCTAATCACGCTGAAAACCATAGTTTAATTTGTTGGTGCGGTTTTGTTTTAAATACGCATTATCATTCCCTGTGTGAAATATATACTATATTCAAAGCCCTAAAAACATAAAAGGTCATCGTAACATTGAGGTTAATAGATTGATAAATATTTTACAGATCAATCAATTAAAACTAATAGACAAGACCATGGAGTCAGAAGCATTCCACGAATTCGCTCAAGTTGCCTCAACTACAGAAGCAGATATAGTGGAATTTGAAAACTGTAATCTGACAAGTGCAAAACTGAATGCATTTGCACAAGAAGCCACTGTGTTTGGTTTGAAAGTAAGAAGTTGAAATATTTTTGATGAATTTTTGTTTCATACCAAAAAATGAAATCATACCAGAGTTTGTTTCATTAGATTTTCTATACATGCGTGCAATAAAATAGTATTTATCAAAATATATATTGCAAGCTAAAAAAGACTAGGAACTCATCAATGAGTTTTTTGAATTCAGAAATATTTGTGTGATTAAATTATATTTAATTTGAAAATGTGTTCTGTAATTCTATCAGTTAAAAAGTACGCTATTTAATGTGACAAAGCTTTCTTCAAATAGTAACCTTAGCAATATGGAAATCATGGCTCATGCTTGCCCTTCCAATTATTTACAAATATGTTTTATGCTATGCTACTTAATTATATCCGCCACTGAACGTAGCTCGTTTTGCATTTTTGTAGCATTGTGGAATTTATTTATTCCCTCAACTTGCCTCGATTCCTTGATTTATGTAAGTTCGAATGTTTATGTGGACTTGTAAATCTCCGTCACAAATTTTGTTAGCATAGGCCTTTGAGATATGGCTATTTTTATAAAGCCTCGTGTAACCAAACGAATGAAGTCCACGGTAATAGCATCGATCTCAAAATTTCATGTCACAGATATCGTAACGCTAGTCACTCAATACTATGAGCCACTCAATACTATTATATATTAACTGCGCAATGATAGGCCCGACATTGGCAATATTGACTTTTCAGCGTATTCACATCCACAACAATTAGACTTCTTGTATTTTAAAACTTGTTAGGCAGTTGTAATTTGAGATTGGCTTCCAAAGTAAACGGTAGTGAGGCAACCAAAATTAAAATATTTCAGCTTTGAGGAACAATATTTTCGGGAGTTAATTAAAAATGCCAGTATTGTATAAATCATAAAGCACAAAGCCATTCAAAACAACGATGACGAGTCTAATCGGAGCGGCTGAAAATTTAATAGGAATTTGCCACGTGACAATATAAATCGAGTTGCAAGAAATTATTGTCGCACTGTCAACACAATGTTTGATTCAAATGTTACATTTTATAGTAGCGACTACCTTAATAGTTAGGTTAACATATATAAAATTAATTCAATTCTAGTTATCTACAAATTCAATATTAGTGCATTATTCGGGTATTAGCCAACATAAATTAAACAATAAATCTTGGTGTTTTTGCTCGGTTGTCTAATCACGCTGAAAATCCCATACAATCGTCCATTATTCCGTCACAGTCGAATTCACAAATTACGTCGTCGACGACTCATTTGATTCTGACACGGATTCTTCAAAATTCCCTCTTGTCTTAGATGAGTATGGTGGCCCATCGTTGTCACGCGTAAAATTGAAAATAAAAATAAAAAACCGATAATAAAAAATTTTTGTAAAAAAACATAAAAATAATTAAAAAAAAAATGAAAAAAAAAAATGAAAATTAAAAAAAATAAATAAATAAAAAAAAAAAAAAAAAAAATGAAAAAAAAAAAAATGAAAAAAAAAATTGAATAAAAAGAAAATAAAAAGGTTGACAACGATGGTCCGCCTCGTGGCCCATCGTTGTCACGCGTTTTTATTTTTAGAAAATTTGCTTCTGCTTGGGACCAACGTTGTCAGGCATAATCCTACGCGCACAAATGTGTTCCCTGGGTTTCAAACTCACTACTGATTTTCTTGAGCAATATTCAATATGAAAATGTTCTATAAATTCTCCATGCTACAAGTTCAACAAGAAGTAATATATTTATAATAATGATAAGAGAATATAGAATTGAATACGAAAATTCGGAAAATTTGTTTTTACGTGTATAAGGTAATTTAATTGGAGAATGCTGCTTAACTACTCAGTTGTCTGAACACTCGCGATGCCGTTACCGTACCGTCTTACCAAATACCGGTAGTCGGTTATAGTCGCTTTGCGTCTGACCGTACCGGTAGCCATACAATCACTCATCATCTCCCATTCTTTCACGAGTGATTGCATGGGTACCGGTACGGTCAGACGATACCGTACCGGCATCGCACGAGTGTCTGAGCAGTTAAGCAGCATTTCCCAATTAAATTACCTTCTACACGTAAAAACAAATTTCCGTATCCAATTCTATATTCTCTTATCCTTATTATAAATATATTGCTTATGGTTGAACTTGTAGCATGGAGAATTTGTAGAACATTTTCATGTTGAATTTATTGGATATTGGTCATGAAAATCAGTAGTGAGTTAGAAACCCAGGAAACACATTTGTGCGTGTAGGATTAAGTCTGACAACGTTGGTCCCAAGCAGCATCAAATTTTCTGAAAATAAAAACGCGTGACAACGATGGGCCACGAGGCGGACCATCGTTGTCAACCTTTTTATTTTATTTTTATTCAATTTTTTTTTCAAATTTTTTTTTTTTTTTTAATTTTTTTTTTAAATTTTTTTTTTTAATTTTTTTGTTTGTTTTATTTTTCAATTTTTTTTTTTAATTTAAAT